TCCAGATAATATTCCACAAATATTTTGTAAAAAATATAAGTCTCTCTGAGTCTTCATCTATTTATAATTTGTAGTGATATTATGAAATCTGGCCTTAATCCCAAAATTTGGAAATTGTCTCATATAATTCCCATTCATAAAAAAGGAAGCACCTATGACATTTCAAATTGTAGACCTATTAGCCTAACATGCGTTGGTAGCAAGGTACTCGAAAGGTTGATTGACAACAAATTGCTTATTTATCTTGATGCCAATAATTTCATATTCTCCTGTCAGCATCTCTTTTATACAAAAAAATCTATTTTAGAAATATTGGCAAAATTTTCCGATTGGTCAGCGTCAATTGACAATGAAAAAACGGTATCAGTTGTATGCCTAGATTTAGCTAAAGCTTTTGATACTGTTTCCTATAGCAAATTATTGATCACTCTTTATAGTTACGGCATTTACAGGGGCCATTTATAATTGGGTTTCAGATAATGTAAAAGATCGTCACCATGCTGTATGTGTCAAAACATTCTTTCTAACACAACACCTGTTAAATCTGGCGTTCCCCAAGGTAATTGTATTTCACCATTGCTTTTTATATTATATATAAGTGATATCACCAATGTGGTACCAAATTTTATCATTTATTTTTATGCTTTATGATTGTAAAATTTATTATTCTCATGGTAGATAACCTATTTCCATTGCAGGAGGGCCTTAACAGAATAGGCAGCTGGCTATATGACAGGCAAATTACCCTTTCCTTTCAAAAATATACGTTCTTCATATTAGTTCTAAAGGTTTCGATTTTCCTGATCTTTTTATTAATGGAAATATAATCCTCAGTAGAGTCTCACACATTTCCAATCTTAATATATTCATGGATGAAAATCTCGATTTCGACCTTCACTACAGAACCATGGTAAAGAAATTCTCAAAGATACTAAATTTTATTTTTCCTTCCTTCCTTTAAGAACGAAAAATCTGAAGGTTTTCTCGTAAAAATGTACAAATCGTTCGTTTGGCATTTTCTTGACTACAATACTGCCTGTTATTGCCCGAGATATCGTTAATCAAATAAAATAATTGAAGGACTCCAAAAATATTTCATACGATCCTCTTTCCTAATAGCAGTTTTAATTATAAAAGAAAAATGATACAATACATCCTGGATTCTCTCTCAGTTCGTTATATTAGACAAGATTTAATTTATACAAGATTCTATATGGTTATATTAAACTAGATTATTCAAAATATTATAATTTTAGACTAAATTTGAATCCAATAAGAACTAATGTGCCAAAATTACTAAAACCTATGAAACTAAGTACTCATTACTTCTTTATTCGTAATATTAATTACTGGAATAAATTACCGAACGATATAGCTTGTGCATCATCTTTAGCTATCTTTTAAGAAAAGTTAGATAATATCATTTATGATATTATTTAAAAAGTTCACACCATGCAGAAAGTGTGAAATCTCGACTTTCACCATCCGACTATAAATAGTATATTATATTATTCTGCAATTTCCTCTTTATTCCATCTTTAAACTGTTAATTTTTGTCATATTTTCATTTTTCTTATTACTAAATTTTAATATTTATTTTTTTAACTGTTGTTATTTATGAAGTACATGGCGTTGTCGTCCTGTTTGGCTAGTTTTCAATAAATAAGTAAGTAAACATCCTTTTTTTCGAAATATTCTTCAGTTGTATTGCTTCTTCGATGTTTTCCAAGAATAATGCAAAGTGTGATATTGTCCATTATAATCGATGTTTTCAATTTATTTATTTCATTTTTAAGTTCATCCTTCACTGACTTTAATTCAACAAATCTTATTAGATGCGAAATATGAAATTAGATATGTTTTACTATAAAATTAACTTTTTTATGACTTTTTTCCTTCTTATTTCTGCCTTTAAATCAATTCTTTTCATTGCTTTTATCATATTCTTGATCAAAAAAGAAAATTTTTTATAAAAAATTGGTTTAATCTTTGCAGATAATATCTTTAGAGTATTAGAATCTGTCTAGTGGTTTTTAGTGCGATAAAAGTGATAAAATGGCCCAGTGGGTCGTTGTTCAGTTTGGTGAGATTCTATAGCGGACTGGAGTGAATCTCTCCTTCAAAAATCTAAGCAATGCTAGCGATCCATCTTTACTTCTATCGCCGAGTGACCCTGGCAGATTTGTCTGGTCCGGCAAGCCAACATAAAGCTAACTACTGATGGTGATGAGTTAGAAAAATAAAAATTAAGTTGCATAAATTTTCAATTAATAATTGTTCAAAATATTAAATTAAATATTAAATTAAATAAAAACATATTTTTATGTGTTCTAATAAGCTTATTAATAGAAAAATTTCCCCTGTTTTAGCTTCTCAGATTAGGTTTTTGATTTAGGTTAGGTTTTTTTATAATTTTCATTTTTATTTAATAGCAAAGTTACGCCAAAATAAGTTTCGGAATCGATAAATTCCTTAGGTTTTTATTGAATAAAATATTTTCATGGTCTTTAAAAGCGAGTAGAATAGAATATTTCTCTTTTAATTCATATTTTTTCTTTATTTATGCAATTAAGGTGAATTTTTGAATTTTTCCAGTCTATTTTTGATTGTTTATTTTGAAGTATTTGTTATTTAGAGTTTGTAGAAATGTTGAACGTAAACGATCCGCTATTTTCAACTTCCGGATGGCCTTATTTCCGGATGGCCCCCGGATACTTATGCTAGTCGAGAAGAAGAAAGAAATTTGTTTAAAAATATTACTTATGATATGTAGATTGATGGATTTTGCTTTTTTTCGCTTCTAAACTTTGTCTCTTGGCTGAGCTTATTTCTAATTATAATCTAAGTTATCCTATTCTTACTTATCAGCTTATACTTCTGCAACTATTTTTTTTATAGCGATTGTATTGATTTCGTTTTTTAATAGCTTTTTTCTAACAGCTCGAACTAATGACAGTTTGGCGCCATTGGCGACTTGGATTAGACCAAGCCTGTCGATCTGATGCCATTTCTGGAGATAATTGAGGTCACCTCTTTTTCCATCGTCTAAATTCATATATCACTGTTTGTTCGAAATATCCTCTGATACTATCGGTTTGTATTTATATCTTGATTAGCGCTCCATGTTTTTGACACTATCTATCACAGGATTTAGCAAGATGTGCATAAATTCCTGTGGTGGACATTGAAGAACATGGCCAGACCAGCGCAGACGCTTTGCGACGATATTTTCATCCTTGGCGATATTCTTAATATCTAAGCGATATCAGAATATCAGAATATCTGAACGAAAATGCAATCATATAAGACTCTTGGCATGTGCATCTTAGCCAGGAATGGTCAAAAACAGAGTTTTATGAGAGATTCTGCATTTTAGATCCAGATAAATGAGTGCTTTATTTTTGAGGCTTTCGCGAAAATTCCAAATTAAAGAGGGGATGAGAGTGGACCCCAGATATTTAAATTCTGGCAGTTCTTGGATCGTTTAAGACTCTGTAGAATGCATTGTTATGAAATGAAAAGCGAGTTTTTCCTTATTTATACTGATATAAGAAATAGTTTTTATTGTTGTCGATACTTGATCCATTGTCTGTGGCAAATGGTTAGCGAAAAGGATAACAGATAACATCAGCGTATTCAAGATTTTATGCTCTGCATTGATTCTTAAATATTTTTAGTGCCATTTGCCCAATCTATCGCATAATTGAAAAGCGTAAACGAAAAGAAGCAGTCTTGACACATCGGTTCATATTTCGAAAAGCTGAGTTGCATCAATTTCACAAACATATGCGACGATCTACACCGATAAAATGCTTGTGATAAATCTAATTATCTTCTTTGAAACACCATAATCTTGCATAATTTGCCAGAGTACCATCCTATTTGTCGAATCAAAAGCAGCGGCAAGTCGATGAAACTTATTAGTTTGCCAATATTTGAAACGATATTCTAATTCTTTAACCTTCCATATCTTTTAGTATCTTTCTAAGCGGGAAAATCTGGGCAATTGAGCCGTGAAATTCGGCTTGTTCTTTCGATTAGAGTGCAACCTGCTGTCATGTACTGCCACGAGTCTGTTCGAAAGAAGGAGGTAAAAATCTCCTTAGAAATATCTAATAAGCTAATTCCTTGATAATTGTCAAAATGCATCCTACTGCCTTGTTCTAGTTCCTCTTTTTTCCATACCTTCATATTCCAGCAAAAGCAATCTTTGCAGACATGTTTTCAAGGGTGCTGAGCTTTGAAAAGTTTAGGTCGGAGATCATCTTCTTCAGGGATTTTATTGGGCTTAAGCTCCTGGGTTAAAGAGAATATTTTTTGCTATGTTAGTATTCTCATTTATATAGCTCCATGTGTCTTTTAATTATGTTCAAGATGGTCCATCTTCGTTAATTTTAGGTGGTCTGTGGTTCGATCGAAGTTTCCATCATTATAAGGAATATCAGATCGTTTCTTTGCGGAGTAGGAATATTTTTCGGTAATTACTTGAGTTACTCGAGTTAACGCCTCTATACTTAAGGCGGCTCGAGTGTAATCGTTGCGGATTTACGAAGCTGCGGATAATTCCTAGAACGAGCGCTCTGGCCACTCAGGTAGCTTGGATGGTTTCATTTGAAAGACAACTTGCCTTTTTCCAATTCGTATATTCTAGAATGAATTTGATTGATTCCTGGGTGCACAAATTTAGCTGGGATTATTAGTGTGCTTTTCGGTCGCTCCACACATATTAATGTTGCTCCTTAATATTTATACTTCAGTTTGAAATGTGCTGAATCCCTCTGGTTCTTCTAATTTGGAATAGTTAAAAGATTTTGAGGGCCACATTATCAATTGCATTCCGATCCTTACCCTAATTATAACATGGTTCAACTCATTGAGGTTGCACTACGATATGCAGGGTTATTTCTCTAATCAAGATATGGTGAATAGAATGCTGAATAGATTATCTGGCGAATGTCATGCAACTAGATGTTTTCTGCAATGCTGAAGGTGAAATATATATTGTAAAAAGTAATATAGACTTAGACGGTGGAAAAAGAAATGGCTTCTATTACTGTCGACGATGGACCGCGCTCCGCTTGGAAGCGTCTTGCCTTTGTAGCCGTTGGAGCCAGCTTAACCAGTATGGTGAGAACTTTTAGAAGAAAAAGAAGCTATAAAAAGTTAATACTCATTAGCAAAAAGAAAGAAGATGCTCTCCATTGTCATACTTGGTCCTTGTCCCACCACGGAAAATTTATTTTCGTCCAGACCATCCATGTAGAGCGTAGAAGCAAATCATTTCATTTCGTTTTTGACTTTCGTAAGCACTTTATAAAATTTAAGCAGGAGATACTATATGCTGAGTATTAGCTGCAATGAATTAGTGAATTATAATCGAGAAAACATGGATCATTTATGAATAAGGGTTAGCACCCACTATATCGGGTGCAGCATTTTGGAAAAATCTTTCAAGATTTTTATCATTTTAAATGATCATTTAATATCCTAAATATTATCATTTAAATAATAATAGCAGTAATAATTGAGTGTTCACCTTTCTTTTATGATAGGCTCGCTTCACTGGTTAACAATTAGAAATTTTTGCCAGAAGCAGGGAACTTCAGCATGGAATATAAATTTGAGTGTGGTAAGTGTGGATACTGTTTATCGTTTTTCTTGTCGAACGAATCCATGAAAATTTGTAATTAAACCGTAAACCGTAAAAATATACGAAGCTATATATTCTCCATCTATTTATTAAACATTTCACTTATATTCTAATATTCTTTTAATAGAATCTTCATTTGCTGATTTCAAGAATGCAAAGACTATTTGCGACTCAAGCATCAAAAATTTAATTAAAGGTTAACCAATGCGGAGCGAGAAAATGAAACACTACGTAAAAAATTGGAAAATTCCACGAAAAATTGTTTTATTACTGAACAACAATTAACAAAGACCATTAATATCTTCAAAAATCAATTGTCTTATCAGGTTATCATTTGAAATAATAGGCATTTATTTTTTATCAGAGTTAGAAAAAAATTTTACTTCAATTTTGTTTTAATATATAATATATAATATTTTACTTGATTAACAAGGGATATTCATATAAAAATGGATAAAAGATTCGTAAAAAGTGAAAATCTTTCTGATTTGGGGATCATAGCTTGGAGATTTGTCAGAAATTTATTAATTAGCTTAATTCATAAAATTTATTGGATTTGCTTTATAAATCTTTTTTTATATATTATTTAAGTATATATTATTCATAAAAGATGGTAGGATTCCAAAAATAAAAGCTTTTAATTCGTCTAATTTATATTATATTCGTACATTAATTTTTTTCTAAATTTGTCAGTAGCGAGTTATTATAGCGAATTATTCACTTATTTTTCTATTTAAGAGTAATAAAATTCGTCAATTGTCCGAGGAGCTTCGTGAACGCACAGCCACTATTGCACAACTTATTACACAGGTAGTGCGACATGACGAAAGTTATTTTTCTATATCACCATAATACTTCATGATGGTGGGTTAGCCAAATGGTTAATGAAATCCCTTAGATTATTGTTTCGATCAAATCAAGATTCCACTTTCTACTTTCACTTTCGACTAGAGAAGATATTAGAAAACCTCGGAGGCATTAAGGACCAATCTTCAGTCGCTCCCTGGCAAAAGCTGCTAACAACTGGAGCGAACGTAACTGGAAATGATGAACGTTACTAACCCTTAGTTTTTGCTTACTTTATATTTGTTGAAAGGATTTCATCACGAAAGATTTAGTTACGTTTCGGACCGAATCGTTCAACACAAAAGGACGATGATATATCTGGTTTAAAAGCGCAGTCAAATAATTCAAGTAATTACAATACAATTTCTTTCGATTTTTCATCTCCATGTGCTGTGCGAAAATCTCGAACAGATCTTGTGCGTAGTGTTTCAGTCACATATCCTGGTGGTCGACCAAATGTCATCGCACAACGGTATAATTATACTAAGTGAGTAAAATTGAGAGTTTGCTTCAAATTATAAATTGAAATGTTTTCTTCGTATAACATTGAATATTTTGCGGATTTTCGGACATAATTCTTTAACGCCCGATTTGTTAGGTTTATGTTGGTGTATAATGAACTTTTTATCTTTCTGGTCAGAATTTCTGAGGAAATCAAAATTTATTAGGGTATAAATTTTGAATAAAAAAAATTATCGAATCTTTCAGAACTCATCCGCAACATCTTCCTTCACTCTATTCGAACTGGCAAAATTTTTCCTCTTTAACCAGCTTCAGTACGGAAAAAATATCGAAACGAATTAACAGTTTACCAAATGAACGATTGGTACTAATTCGAAAACTACAAGAATCCGATAAAAATTCCACAAACACTAAAAATAATTTGAATGAAGCTGAAAAGAATAAATAAAATAAATTAATTCATTTCAGAATTTAGAATATATAAAATTTATTAAACGTTTATTATTAAATATGATACGATTAGACGACCTGTCTAGCCGTTTTTAATTTATGTTTTGGTGTCATCTAAGGATTTTTTATGATTCTTACAAACTGGTAAAATAAAAGATAAACTACAAAATTTTTATCATTTGGTAACAAAGACGAAATATTCTTTCCTCAAGAGATAAAAATTTTGGTTTATTCGTATGCAAACAAGTTCATGGAAAATCATTTTTCAGTGCAAAGAAAAGCAATGCAAATATTTTAGATTTTACATTGTTTCAATATATTTAGGTCGAGATACTAGGGGATCCTCAATTTTAAACATATAGGTCCGGCCTATTTTACATTCTTATCATAGGACTATTGGAGAGTATAATATTCTTTTTGCAAAACAGTTTTTGTTATTTAACAAATAATTTTTATTAGACCATATGTGAATTGTATCATATTGAACCAGAAAACAAAAGTGAAGGTGACATATACAATATATGGGCCTGATTAGCAAAATTTGTTCCTAATAAAACGGCCTTCTCGTTTTAAATACAAGTATGCCGATCTGGAATCAGTTCGTAGCAAGCATTTACTTAATCCCATTTCATCAAAAACTGGTTGATTAAATGCATAGGGTGGACATTTCTCCCCTAAAAAGAAATTGTAAAGAAATCATGGATTAAAAGAAGATGAACTTAAGATAAAGATAAAATTCTCACATGCAAATTCTAAAAAAAAAATTCAGAAGGGATTAATTGGTACAAAATTTAAGAAAGAATTCCTCACAGCATTTTTCGAAAAGTAGATGACGTCCATGATCACAGACACAACGATGAGGATTTTGTTGAATATCGCAGTATGTTGTCTCGCAAATTCGTTTGCATTGTTCATCGAAGAAGCAACCTGTTTCATTCGGCCTGAGAGCTAAAGTTTCATTAGTCATTTAACAAAGAATGCTGGGTTTTAGCGTTTATTTATTTGAAAAGTTATTTAAATACCTTTTAAGCAACAGCCGGACTGAGCAGAATTGCCCAGTCTAAAACAGCTCAATATTGGTGGACAATCGGAATTTACTATGCATGCTAAAAATCATCAATAAATTATGCAGCCAAGAGCAAAGCAGTAAGTTCATTATTTCAGGAATTAAATTATCTTTGAAATTGTATCCACTAATCGCGACAACTTTCGCATCGAGAAAATTTAGGATTTCATAAATAATTTTTACGAAAATAAATATGTGCATAAGCAAATGAGCTACATCTCTGCGGAATGGATTTTTTTCACCGATAATCTTAGCAAATGCAAAAGATATTCAGATTTTTAATGACTTACGTTGATCGCAGTCATTCAGTAAGTGTCTTATCGGTTCTGCGAATTGCGACTGATAAGCTGGATTATGTACAAAATTTTTTACACGTATCACGATGTATAAAAATATCAATAAACGATACATAACGATCGTTGATGCAGTTTACTTTTTTAACCAAGTCAATTAAAACCACCCAATTTTCGCAAACAGAACTAAGCAGTGCTTTCTTGAACTGAAAGAATTGTGAATGACTTAAAAAATGAGCAGTTTGTAATTTTCCCAATCTAATTAATAATTAATTATTAGGTTAGGTTATAACCAGGCAGGACCCATCTATATTTCGAACCGTACATGGCGTAAAGATTTTAGTCTAATAACCAATATAATCAAACCAGAAGTGATGATGAGTGCTGCCATTGAAGAGGAAGGAAGACTATGCTATATTCGATGAATTCTTTCAAATACAACCGGTCCTTTCTACTAGAACACCCTCAATATCCTTTTTATGTTCACCATTATCTCTAAAGAAAAACGAATTCCGATCAAAAATGTTTAATACCAGCCTTTATAAATATATATATATATCAAAAAATGAGTGAAATCTATCAGAATGCTTTTGTTATTTCTGCAATCGAGCGATTTTCGATGGCACGAACAATCACTTTATTCCTCATTGTTGATATCGAATGAGTCACTGCGGAATTCGTGACTTCAATCAGGAAGTGAAGTGAACTTAATCATTTCTTAAATTTGCAGTGAAATTGCCAATTACTAAAAGTAAAGAAAATAATCATTCATCAATGATCTCCAATCTTCATTGTTTCGTTTTTAAACGATGATAATCAATCAAATTCAAACAGTTTTGCTAAGATTTGTCAAAACAATTATTTAAATTTTCATAAAGAATTCAAAAATTTTAATTGCCTTCCAAAATTTGAACCAAATTTATTTATTTTATTTATAAAATGCACTATACTTGCCGTGTTTCGCATTATATTATAAAGTCTTTATACTACAAATTATTCAAATTTATCAAATAAATCAAATGAATAAATTATCAAAAAATCCAAAAATTAAGGTGAAATCAATATCAAATAATCTAATCAAATAAATATTTCGAGAAGGTCAAAAAAATTCTTCGAAATTGCTTAAATATTTCACGGTAAGTTATTATTATTCTCTTTCTTTTAAACAAGTAATCCCAAAGGAACAAAAAGAAATAGAAAAATTACTTTTACAAAAAATAACGAACAAATATAAAAAATTGAAGAAGTTTAACAATTATCAATAAATGAAAGGTAAAAAATTAATAATCAAATTAAGAAATCACTTTAACCAATAATGGCAAAGTTTTTTTTAGAAATATCTTAAGTAATCAAAAATCTATAGAAAATGCAACGAAAATCTTATGCCTTTGCTGTAAAGCAACTATTTTCTTACCACTGATTTTAAAATTTACACAGAAACTAACGGATAAATCGATTTCTCTTGAAAACCTTGCTGTGAGCTAAGAATAGCATTCAACCACTGTGCTCTTAAATTATTTTCAGGAAACGCCATACAAAAACCAATAAATTTCGACTTATATTTGAAATTCTTGTTCAGTAAGATGAAAGTCAATGTAAAAGGAAAAGGGGGTTTACGGGCAGTTTCGTGACCCCTGAACCAGACCAAATCATCGATGTGCCACTGATTGATCTGCTTCATCATCTAAAATGAAAATTAATATAAAAAGTGAATTCTATGAATTATAAATTAATTACAAAGACAAAAAGACAATAAGCTATAAATTTGATAACAAGGGAAATAAATAATCATATTTTCAATGAACTTAAGTCGAATAAACAATTCTTTTGGAGCTTAAGATAGTTGCAGAAAAAAAAATTTATGGTCAAAGCAGAATTAAACAGCAAAAACATAAAACACTTATTTCAATTAACACTTATTTCAAAATATAAAAGATATAAAATATAAAAAAACACAAATACTTATATACAAATTTCTCAGGAAAAAGTTGTGGAACAAAATAAATTCATTACCTTATTGTAATGGATTATCTCCTTTCCCGCTTCGATTTTCATGTGGCACGTACTGAATGTCTTTGAACCCGGTTCAGCAATTTTAATATCATTTGCGAAAGGATATAACTTCTGAATTTTAATTGCTGATGTAGAACGAAAAAGCAAATAACGATAATAACACATTCCAACAAATTTTTCAAGCCTTCGGTTAAATCGAACTTCGGAATTTTAGAATTTTGTAACCTCGGAAAAAATTGAATTTTCTAAGGATTTTTCACTTTTCTCACAATATCCTTACCTTATTGTTATGAAACCCTATATAATTAACAAGGTATGATCAAATAGAAGCAAAAAAAAAGAAAAATTTCTTCAAGGGAAAAAAATTAGAAAAATACTGAATTAAACGGAAAAAATCTTCAAAAAAAGCTGTTTACATGAAAAGAAAATGGTATGCTATCAGATTTGAACACTAAAAAACAATCTGCTGGATCCCAATCAAGCCACCGACCTGTGACTATCGAACTTAATTTCTCATTCCACCCAACACGTCTCTCCAGTTGACCAGCTTTTACAACCTATAAGTGCACAAATAAAAATGAGTAACAATGAGAAAAAAAAACAATAAAAATTTTGAAATGATAATGAAATTTTGAATGTGAATGCCTCTTGCTTAAATTTATTATTTACAATAATTGAAAAAAAAGTAAAAATTTACTTCAAATAGTGCATAATCCGAAGAGTCTTCATTGCATAATATTGGCCGATGCCTAGCTGCATCACAAACCTATAAATATATAAAAAATATTTTTATAACTTTTCTGACGGAAAACATAAAAATTAAAATATAAATTTCACTTGTTCCGCTGTGTGTGATAATTGTATATTGAATGTATGGTTATCACGTTCAATTAGGTGAACGGGTACGAGGAAACCATCTGCTCTTGTCTAAAAAAAAATCAAAAGTTTTATCAAAAAATGGATTTTACTGATAATAAAACAGAAAACTTCATTAAAAAACTAGAAATAAAGTAACAATAAATTATATACTTTAGCTGCATTCGCCTTCCCAAAAAACATATCCATCTTTGCTTTAACATGCATTTCTTGCAGAGGCACTCGGAATATTGTTGCATAATTCAAGATCAGATCTTTAAGAACAATTATCTGCAATGCAGTCTTCCCAAAGCCATCTGTTCGACTATAAGCATCCTAAAACAATCAAAAAAAAAAACAATTAATAAAGAAAAATCAAAATTATCGCACATAAAAGAACTAACATTTTCTACAGAAAACAATGTTGGTCCAAATACTTTTACAACATTATCAACGGTTGCCAAATTGGAGTGGGAATGTTCAGTAACATCTCTTAAATGATCGAGTATGCGGCGAATTGTTTGTCGTCGAATCCTTGATAGACCATTCAATATTTCATAATATTCATCCATTTTATTATGGTCTAAAAAAATGAAGAACTGAATGAATTAATTTGACAATTGATTCAATGAAATAAAGAACAAAAAAACAAACTTTTATTTTCTTCATATTTTTTCAAATAAATTAAGTTGATTATCTATCTATATGCAGATGAGAAACCTTCTTACTTACAATAAAATAAAAGTAAACCTCTAGTTTCAGCAACAACAAACAGTCGTTCTTGAACTGTATAAGGAATAAGTGGTGAACTAAGCTGCCTAAAAAATGAACGAAGCACATCAGCAACAACATTTACCATGTCATCAGATCCAGAAATAATATGAACATCTGCCGGATCTAAAAAGTAGATAACACAAAGATAAATAGTAATTTTTAATGCTGATTCATTGACAATGATAACGATTATTTATTATTATTACATTTAATTGTTATATTATTACTATTATTATAATACCATTTTACTATCATTATTACTATATTATTATTTTTATTATTATTATCGTGCGTCATCAAGTTGATTCCTAGCAACCATATAGACAATCTACCTCTAGCTAATCTTAAAGATGATAGGAGATTGAAAACTATAGGAGATTGCTCATTGATTCTGTAAATCTAGCCACTTTACAGATCTTTTTCAACAGACTTGAATCTTCGTATAATATGTCCAAAACAGGATAATTTTTGCCTGGTTATTTGTGCCTCGAGTGAGAATTCCAGGTTTATTTGTTAAATAATCCTACAGCCTGTTCTCTTGGCTGTCCACGGTATTCTCAGGAGACTTCTCCAATATCAAAGTTCAAAAGCATCGATATTCTTCCTATCCTGCATCCCATAGAGAATCATTGGGAATACCATGATTGCATAATTCTAATCTTTGTAGGTATAGCCACATCACTGCATTTGAATATCTTTTCGAAGACCTTCACGGCTGTTCTTCCCAGAGCTAATATGCGGCACTTTTTTTAACTATTTATACTTATTATTGATGGCTCATTCTGAAAACCAGACTCTATCCACTTCGAAGTACGAATAAATTCTAATGTTAACTGCATCCATTATCATTAGTTTAATTTTTGCCTTCATATTTAGCTTAGTCCACTTTTTCACTGCGATCTTTGTCCTTTAAAATTTTAAGATCCCTGATATTCTCAGCTATTAGCGTAGCGCAGGTTATAAAAGTTTCTTTCTCCGATTTTTAAACTACCCTCATCTTTTAAACTAGCCTCCTTTAATATATATACAGCATAAAATTTGAAGTAAGGGAAGAGTGAGAATTTTTATTTCTATATTACTTGAAATTAGTTTCTTTTGCCATATTATTAATGTCAAAAAGATGTTTTGGGAAAAACTTTTTCTGAGTACAGTATATTTGGGATGATCAGCACAATCATTTTTCCTATAATCGATTGTTTTTGGTACTCTTGTTCAGTTATTTAGTCTATATTAGTAATATAGATATAGTAATAATGTCTCATGTTCTTTTCTTAAAATAAGTTTAAATATATGCGATGTATTTCTTATTTGCTTGCACCTTTATTATTAATGGCTGATATTGAAAAGCAGATATCTTCCTCATCTCTTTATGGATGTATGGTTCTCGCTTTGGATGATCCTATACAATATTTTGAAAGCATCAGAAATTAATGATACTGTACGATGTTTGCACATTTTATTAAGTCTCCTTTTTTAAATTGGAATGCAGATTGATTTATTCCAGTCGGTTGACTATTACGTTATTTTTTCGATTACAGTGGTAATTTGATTTCATCTTCTAATATTAGAGGTTCTTGTGAGTGAGAGATATTATATGTGGTCTCTTGGATATTATATCTATACAATGTAGTGTTTGAGTATATGTTCAAATTTGAGTATAATTGAGTATATTTGAGTTACGATATAATGTGTAAAAAAAACCTCTTCGAAATGCTTCTAGCAAAAGCCTGGCCTCAACGTTTGAGCCATTACGTCGATAAAGCCCTTTTTGAAAAAGACCATATGTCGATATATATTTGATACATCTGAAATCAGAAGATGCAGAAGCTTCGATATATTTTGATAAAAAAATAAAGGTAAGGATGGTTATTACTTGTCAACAATAACTGGAACATCATCAACTGTTAATTTCTGGTCCTCAAGTTCATATCCTTGGCAACCCATTTCTGACGAAATCAACTGGATCCATAGAGAGGTGATTGAATCACATTCGGCTTGTAAATAAAGCGATCTATACAAAAATATAATGAGCATAAGTTTTAAATTTCTGGAGTTTTCCCTGACTTATTGGAATGGAAAATTTCTTATTGATGATACATAAATAGGCAACAATAAGTAAACCATAGATAAATTGTGAAAATACTCAATGAAATTTGTAATTTGAAAGAAATAATTCTAAAATTTTTAAAATGTTTTAAAATCATTTAAATCATCTCTGCATCAATGAAAATTTAGATAACCGATCGCCAAATTTTGGACCAAAATTAATAATATTCATAATTTTAAAAATTACCCGCCATCTTGCAATAATAGGAAAGGACCATTCTGTGAGCCAATTACCGAGGCACACCAATCTATCTTCGATATATCTGTTTTCATGGCAAGAAATTTTCGAGTATCTAATTCGAAAAGCATAGCACAATTATTGAGCACATAGAAAAGCTTGCGCTGAAAAATGTTACAAATTTATAGAATTGCTGATAAATTCTAAAAAAAATTTCTTTAGGTGAAATTTAAGTATGTAGCCAACATTGTCCAAATTCATCCATCCTTTTGACCATGGGCAAGTAGCTCCTTGTCTAATCCATATTGTTCCACAAGCATCAAGCCGACGAAGATTATATAAAAGTGTCTCATGCTTTGGGACAAAACACTGAAAAGATAATAGATAATATAATAAATACGATAAAAAACAATTAAAATATAATAAGCATGGCAATAATATAATAAAATCCACACTTTATTAAATGGAATGATATTTTGGTTACATATAGAATAAATTTTTTATCACTAGCTTCTAGCGAAAAAAAACTGACTTTTGCTAAAAGTAACATCCAGTGATTGGGCGCATCATTAATAGTCATTTTAATATGGATCCAATTAATTGATAATGCATCATCTTTTAAAAAAATATTGATAACATCCTTAACTGATGGTGATTTCCCAACATAAACAAGATTTTTCGTTTGAAAAGGTCCCAAACTTATGACTTCACACTAAAATCACGATCACACTAAAATCACGATATAAGGCTAAAAAACAAAATAAAATAAAAAGTCTAATAAAAACTACAAATCTGGATATAAAATTGATGAAGGAAAGAAAATTTTGAGTTCTTAGGAAAGAAACTTACTTTATTTTCATTTTCATAGAACATAAGTTGATTCTTTCTCAAAACAGTCCAAAATTTCCCTCGATCCTTTTTATTTACAACTATATACATCCATCCTGAATAACAGATATCTTCATCTTCAATAATCGGTGAAGCATGGTCTTCATTCTCTTTAACAGTTGAATAATAATCTTTTTCCAAATTTACAATACCCGCTAGTGGATTTATACGCACTGTAGTATTATGATCAGTCAAATTTCCTTGCCAACTGAAAGTATGATTAAAAAGTATTAGAATATTTTGATGGAAATGGGGCTAACCATAAAACTTACCTAATCTTGGGATCCGCAATATTTGAACATGTTGAATTGTGAAGCATTTTCCGATATTCATCCAAACCGATATATCCTGGATTCCATATACTTCCACCAGGCCCTATTTCTAATCCAGCTAAAGAATTTTCTTCTGCATTTTCGATAACTGCTTCTCGCGTGGAGCAGAAAATTTTTTCCTCCATAGAAATATTGTGAATGTTTTCATTTTTTTCATTTTTTTCTTCCACCATTTTAAAATCATCCAGTTCAATTAGATTCATAGAAAATCGTGCTGATTGCTCAGGCAAAAAATCAGATTTGTTAGAATCAGCAATATCAGAGGAATAGAAATTCCCATATAAATTATTAGCAGAAGAAGAAGCTGCAGTCATTGCAAAAGGCAATGGTAATTTGGAAAGGAAATTTTCTGTAGATAGCTGAACTGGTAATAAATTTCGGGCCCAGGATTCCTGAATATGCAAATCAGACTTGAAATGATCCATATGTGGTTGTGAATCAGCGAAAGAATGTAAAAAAGAATGAAGAGGTGATAAGTTAGAGTTAGATGATATTATGGATCGCTGATTGTTTTCCTTCTGTGATTCAGCATCACTTCTGTCGTAAGTCGGAACAACATTGACAGAACCTAAATCATGTCCTGAAGTTGAACATGGAATAGTCTGAGAGCTAATGGATTTAACAGGAGATAATCGGGTCGATTTATGAAGCACTAATGGTGCTCCTTCAAACGACTGTTTTACTTCCAATTGATAATCCGCAAAAACCGTATTATTGTAGGGGAAATGGGGGTTTATAGATGAATTTGAATTTCTAAACGAACGTTCAGGCACTGCTGGTTTGAAATTTGTTGATAAACGTGGAGCTGGAATAGGTTTTGATTGATTAACTTTTTCAGCCATTATTTATCATATCGAATGATTTCTGCAAAAAACTGAGATTCAAATTTGAAAGAAAAAATTTAAACTAAGAAATTAAAAAAAGATCCAACGCTTATCATATCTGATGCGACATTGATAAAATTAGGCATATGTTTGCGCGATCTCCCTTTCTCATTCCCCAGAATCTTCATTCATCTTCCTTCACTAACATGTTCGAACTCAAAAATACTGAGTTCCATTCGATCTTATCATATAACATTTCTAAAAATTACGATGTGGTCCTATTCAGCTGCAAAATAATTACTCTTTAATTAGTTAACAGCTTAAACGACAACATTTAATTTACTTTACACGTGATCCACGTGATAAGTAGTTGCAGCTAGAAATCCTCATTTAGGCAAAACCTCAGAATCCCGAGAAATCAATATTAAAATGAAAGCAAAATTATTTCCAAAAGCGCGAAATGGTCGATGAACGCAGATGATATCACGAAACTAGCTACATTCCTGTCTAATGTGGTTATTATCAGATATAGCATCGCGAAACTTTTTCATTCCCCCAGCCAGAGGAACCAATAGTGGCACGAATTGTTATAGGGTCCAATCGAAGAAGAAAACAGCTCGATGAAGAATTTCATAGAAAAAGAGTAAACTGATGATAAACTGCACGTATCCACGTAAAGGTCCACGCACATGAACCTTCAATACCACAAAATTTCAAAAAAATTTCAAAAAAAATTTTATATATCAAACGATTGAAAAGACATTTTATGCAAAATGCTGATTCATTTATTTACCTTTTTTCTCTCATTCTCTTTTGCAATTTTACGTTTCACTTTGGAACTTTTCCCGCTGACCTTTGACCCAAAATCTAAAAAACCCCTAATCTAGACTTAGCACAATTATATAATAATTATTAAATTTATAACCCAAATAAATTGCAAGAGCTTTACTACAAAATTTTGACCTTTGACATACCAAAGAAAAGAACTTTCTCTTCAGGTCAGAAACCATCAATAATGAATAAATCCTTTTTTAAGCAAAATTAACAAATAAGTTAAAAATGAACTTTCAGCAAATATAGATGGAACCGATGCAGATTCATTTCTTCGCAATGATATACGGATTCTTTAAACATGATTTCACGAAGAAAACGACCTTGAACTTACCTAAAACTGGCAGCGCAGGTCAAGCCTGTCAAAGACCAAATGCACCGAGAGATACAAACTTATGCACCAAATAATGAAGGACGGATAGGAGGTTAGTCTTTTCTGCTACTATATATCTAATATGCCATTGAAACGAATTTCCACATTACGGTATTTCATAAATAGTTTGGTTTCTCTTAATATCGTTAATTTTATATTTGCGGTAATAAAAGTAAGTGGGAATGAGTTTTTTTCCGATTTTTGTGAAATAATTTAATATTTCTATTTTCCTTTTAAAATTTATCTTCTATTTTTGCCGAAGTAAATAAGGCTAAATGCCGTCTGTTGTTGCCTTCTAGCAGAAGTAATTGTTTGTGGGCGATTATTGATTTGGCCTTATCAGTCGTATTCGTAAGTTCGTAAGTTCAGCTCATTATCGCGGGTGGAACTGATATTCTAACATCGACTTCTGCAAGCCTATTGTAATGTGATTTAGATTAACGCAGCCGTGCAAATTCTTTGGGAAGAAAATCAGGTTTAGCTTAATTCTTCTGTACAATTCACATTGAAATATATCAAATATATAAAGTTTATAACTGAAAATAAGGCGGTGATTTGAGCAACGCAGAAAATATTTCACTTTTATTCTCTCGCAGTTTAACCTAATTGAATTTAAAAAATATTGTTATATTATGAGTGACGACGAATGACTGTTTCAATGTAAGCATCGATAAGATAATTTGCTAAAATTTAAAATTTACGATTATTGCTAAATTGCTAAATTATTGCTAACAATTATTGCTAAATTTTCTGTTGTTTTCATTGGTAACGATCGCTGATTTGCCTTTTACTCGAAAGAGTAGACCATAGAAAAGCATTGCTATATAGTAAAAAACTTTATAATTAGAAGTAGATTTGGATAAATTGAAATATTTGACTAACACCATTAAGGAGCGCCATTTCTGCTTAATCTCATCGTAAATTTTCTTCGTGCTCTTCAAGATATTCTAGTCGAATGAGTCATTGATTATTCATTAGACTAATCGAAGCCATAATTGAAAGAAATCCTGATTGACGTTTCTTCGTTTATATCATTTTTTATATGAGAAAGTAAAAAATCAGCTCTCACCATTACTGGTTAGGCTTGCTCCAACGGCTACAAGGGTAAGACGCTTCCAAGCGGCGCGGTCTGATGCCATCGTCGACACATTAATGGAAGCCATTCCTTTTTCCATCGTCTAAGTCCATATATTGCTGGTCCACCTATACGTTCAAAATCTTTTCTCACCGTATCAGTCCAGGTCTTGATTGGCCCATCTCGCTTTTGAGCCAACTATCACATAGTTTAGCAAATAACGAAATATGCGTCAATTCCTGTGGAGGATGACGGAGAATATGCTCTAACCAGCGAAGGCGGCGCTCTGCGATAACATTATTTATGCAGGTGGTATTTGAACGAAGGTGGATGCGATCTTGTGAGATTTTATCCACTCGACGAACCCGTAAAATATACCTTAGACAAGAGTGGTCAAAGGCAGATAACTTCTTAATATCCTCATTGGCCATGTCTCAGAACCATATAGTAAGATCGAACGGATCACGGCAATATAGATGCGGACTTTCGTTTTTGTAGTGATTTCACGACGATTCCATAAAGGTTTCGTCAACCGGAAGAACACATTTCTAGCTGCCGTGATCCGAGTTATAATATTATCTTTTGCCTGGCCATTTGTTATTAGAGTGGACCCAAGGTATTTAAAATCGGGCATTTCCTCGACGGTAATGAATTTACAAAAAGAGGCATTTTATCAGCTTCTTGCACATAAGACGAAAGGACTTTCGTTTTATTTACATTGATCCTGAGTCCGATTCTTGCTGCAGTTTCTGACACTTTATTTAGTATTACTTGCATTTCGTTATAACTATCAGCAAAAAGGACTACATCATCAGCGTATTCAAGATCTGTGATGTGATCCTCTGGAGTAATTCGGGCACCTCTTGAGTGCCGACAAGCAATGTTGATTATCCAGTCTATCGCATAGTTGAATATTGTGGGCGAAAGGACGCAGCCCTGACGGACACTTGCTCTTACATCGAAGAAATCTATCAGCTCCCCATATACATAGACCTGCGTCGACGTGCGCTCATAAAATGTCTTTATGAGTCTAATGATTTTCTCTGGAACACCGTCACGTTCCATCACTCTCCAAAGCGTCGCTCTATCAAATGAATCAAAGGCAGCAGCAAAGTCGATGAAAAAGTCGATGACAGTGGGTTGCAAATATTTGAAGCGATGTTCCAAAACCCCTCTTAACGTGAATATCTGGTCAGCACTTATGGAAATACGGGATAGCAGCATGCGCCCTGATCTGAACCCAGCTTGACTGAGGCGCATTCTGCTGTCCCGTACTTCGATAAGTCTGATGAATAGCAGGGAAGCAAAAATTTTTACTAAGACATCTAGTAGGTTGATTGCTCCATAATTGTCGCAGTTTGTCCTATCACCTTTCTTGAGAATTGGGAGCAGAATTGCTTTGCACCAATCATTTGGTAATATTTCTTTTTTCCATGCTAAAGAGTACATTTGTTGAAGGTGCCTTATGAAAGAAAATGGGCAGCATTTGAAGAGCTTAGCCCGAAAACCATCTTCTCCTGGAATTTTGTTGGCCTTAAGCTTATGGATAACTGAAATTATTTCTTCTTCTGTTGGAGGCTCGCAATTGCAAACGTATGCTTCGGCAAGCGTATCGTTATATCAAGGGCAACAGACGGCGCTTCATGGTTAAGTTTGGCTTCATATCTTTCCATCTTATGAGGCGGTCCTTAATATTCTTGACTGGCACGCCATTGCTGTCCCTTACCATTTCACTGATCATTCTCCGAATTATAGTTGCTTTATGAAGAAGGCGGAATAACTTCTTATTATTGCCTAATCGAGCCGCCGCCTCCATTCTTGAGGCCATGTCACTCCAATGATTTCTGTCCCGCCTTGCTGCTTCCGTTGCAAATCTTCGAAGCATCCGGTAGTCAGGATCACCTGACATTCGTGCTTTGGCAGCTTTTTCAGACAATTGGACAGTTGCTTCCGATACCCAACTAGCGCATTTCCTACTAGTATGCTATAGCGTAGAAGTGGCTGATTTTCGGAGACATTCCTTTAATTTGGATCAGTATTCATTTGCCGTTCCAGAAAAATCATTGATATTTGTATCATTGAGATGCGATGCTTCAATAATTCGGTTTGAAATGCGCTCACTGTCCCCGAATTTTTTATTTGAGATAATTGAAAGAACTTGGGGGATGCTGTAACATGAAGATTGCCCGTTTCAGCTCCGCGATAGGAGCGACTATCTAGTACAGAACTTTCCAACGGCGACGGCAACTGAAGATATAATCAATCTGGTTGAAGTGTTGGTTGTTCGGGGAGTTCCACGTGACTAGATGTTTTCTATTATGCCGGAAGCAAGTATTAGTAACAAAAAGTTTATGCTCTTCGGCATAACGAAGAAAAAGTTCCCCATTGTTACACCGGTTCCGATGCCATATTTGCCAATTGTTGAGGTCATCGCATTGTGACCTGCGCGAGCATTCCAGTCTCTCCCGATTATGATCATGTCATGTTTCGGTAGAGACTTAGCAATTGAAGTTCCGCATAAAACTTGTCTTAATCATGGTCATCCGACAACATTGAAGCATAGACACTGATGACCGAGATATTGCAGAACTTACCCTTAAAACGGGCATAGGCCATTCGGTCGTTTACCGGTTTCCACTCAATCAAAGCAGAATGGACCTTTATTGCTTGTATTATACTGAAAGAAAGCTGGTGAATATGATGTGGGATAAAGGAATTCTCAGAAAAGCTGCAAGAGGAAAAAGCTTTTCATTTTTTAAAAAATTTGAATATTGGATGGCAAATTGGTATAATTCATCTTTGAAAAGAAAAGTAAAAAATTAAGGAACAAAAGAAATTGCTTATTTTTTGTATTTGTCCTTTCATATTTATCATATTTTTTTTATTTTTCACGTTTTTATTACCATAATTTTTTTTTACAAAAAGACTATTAAGCATTAAGAATTGCAAAAATTAGATTTTCAGAATAGTCTTGTATGTGTTTGCATTATCATTGCTGGATTGGCATTTTTCTATCATTTAATAATGCTGGATTTTTTTTCAGATATTTGCTATGGTTTTTCGCTAGTTTTACTAGAACTTTCTTTATAATTTTGGTATTATTTTTCTTAATTTTTTAATCGTTTTTTAAAATATTTTATTTAAAATATTTTCATTTTTTCTTTCCATTTATAATTTTTTGATATAAATTATTTGATCATGAAAAAATGATCATTTCAGATGTTTTTGCATTGAAATTTTCACTGCACAAATTTTTCAGTCTTTTCGTGTTTATAAATAGATTATGTTAATATAGATTATGTTTATTTTTCACGATGAAGTAAGTTATTTTCCATAGCAAATATTTTATTTTCCATTTTTTATATGTATTTTTATTTTAATTTGCAAAATATGGCTAGGTGGTGTGAGTTGAAGAATTATAGGTTCGATCCTTCTTTCATAACGGAAGTTATTGAGCCTTTTCTTCTCATTAAATGTAAAAATGGGTGGTGCCAGGGATCACGATCCCAAAGTAATTCTATGACTTTAGGAATCAACTGAACCAGAGATAATTCGCGTTATTAAGATGAGAAGAAAAAGCAAGAGCACATCATAATTTTAAATACTGGCAGATTTAAAAAGGAATTATCATTGTTCACTGATATTTAACTGAAATTTATACTTTGCATTAGCAGCAAATCCAAGTCTTCATAGCGCAATATTGCTTTTAATGATTCAGCTGTACTTATTGTACATTAAAAAATATTAGAATAGTATTAGTTATAAAATTAAAAATGATATAAAAATATTAGAAAAAAGTTTATCGACATCAGATAGCTAGAGAGAATAGAATTCACTATAAGAATCTCTGTAATCTTTATAATCTATTATTAAATTTCACTGAAATTTAAATATTTTCCTTTTAACATTTAATATTTTCCTTTTAACATTTTCCTTTTAACATTTTAGTTTTTGTTTTTTTGTCATATTTTTTGATAAATTTTTTTAATAAATTATGTTTGATAAATTTGAATTTGGATTTTCTTTCCATTAGGAATTGAAATTCAATATGATAAAATTTAGTTTTTAGAGATTTCTCATAATTTATATGTTGAATAAAATATATTTTATCAAATACCAATTATCATTTTGAGGATTAACGTTGATGGTCTTGATGTGTTATTTCCATATGAATACATATATCCTGAACAAATTCTTTATATGGAAGAATTAAAGAAAACCCTCGATGCTCAGGTTTTAATTTTTTCACCTTATGTTTTACCTTTTTATTTAATTATCAAAGTTTTTTTACGTACAGGGTCATTGCTTGTTGGAAATGCCATCAGGAACTGGAAAAACAGTTTCACTACTTTCTCTTGTTGTTTCTTACATGGTCAATTTTCCTGATAGGCTGGATAAATTTATTTATTGCTCACGAACAATTCCAGAAATTGAGAAATGCATGGAAGAATTAAGAAATCTTTTTGATTATTACAAACGACTCTTAGGAGTAAGTAAAAAGTTTTGAAAAAATTACTATACTTTCTTTGAATGTAGTAGCTTTACTATTCTCTATTAATTTTTAAAGGAAAAAGGAATTAATGATATTTTTTTTAAATGATTCAGTTCATTTTATAAAGAATTCTTTCGATTGAACAAAAAGAAGATAAAGAGATAATATGCAAATTTTCAGAATTCTCCATCTTTTCTGGCATTGGCTTTGTCGGCTAGGAAGAATCTTTGTATAAACGATTCAGTTTCACGTTTGAGGCTTGGCACTGCTGTCGATGGAGCTTGTCAGCGGTAAGTGGTATTTATACTCATTATTTTTTAACTTTGTTCTTTTCATTTTCATATTTTTCATATTTAATTTATTAAGAGTGATTCTTTAGTATTTAAAATATGTTAATTTAATTTATTTTATATTCTTTTCTATTTTTTTATTCTTTTCTTATCTTTTATTATAACTTAAAAACTTGTTTTCTAACTTGTTTTTTTTGGTCAATATTTCTCTTATAGTACCAATTTTCTAGATTGACCGCCAGTTTTGTGCGAGCAAAGCGGATAATTGAACCTGATCTGCCTTGCTGTGATTATTTTGAGAAATTTGATGAAACAAGAGATTCGTCGTTGCCAAACGGCATTTTCAACTTGGTGCTTTTTTACGTTTCATGTAAAATTATTCTTTTTTTAAGTGCTAAATAAAGTGCTAAATTGATTAAATTAAAAATACTGCTTATTTATAGCACTTTTCATTTTTTTATTGTAGTCAGATTTGCGCGACTGGAGTAAAAAAAAAGGAATCTGCTCCTATTTTGTCGCTAGAAATGCAGTCGAAAAGGCCGATATTGTCGTGTATTCCTATCATTATATTTTGGATCCAAAAATCGCGGAATTAGTTTCTAAAAAATTTAGTCGGCGTTCTTGTGTAGTGTTTGATGAGGCACATAATATTGGTATCACTTTGTTGAGCCTTTTACAAATATAATGAAATTATAGAAATTTTCATTTAATTTCTCATTTTTGAAATTTTATTTTTCATAGATAATACTATGATCTTAAAATTATTTCTTTTATTATAATGATAAATTTCAGATAATGTCTGCATTGAATCAATGAGTGTATCACTTACAAAATCAACATTGGATAAGTCGATACAAAAATTAGGCACACTAGACAAATATATTGAAAAGTAGTAGCTTATTTTTCATTTTCTCTTTTTTTGATTCATTATCTTATCTTTTATCTTTAACCTTCTAATCTTTTAACTTTTAATTAATCAAAATTTCGCTTTTTTAAACTGAAGATTTAACATGAAGAAAATAAAAATCACTGAAGGATGAAACAAGAAAACAATGAACGTCTCATAACAGAATATGACCGATTGATTGAAGGATTGAAGAAAATTGAAGAAGAGCGTGCATCTGATCAAATATTAGCTAGTCCAGGTTATTCAAATATTAATTAAATCTAACATTCGCGTAAATTAGATAATTCGGATAATTTCAAATTGGTATAGCCGATTTCTTCTTGTAATTTTACTTGTTATCTCTGGTTATTATGTTGAAAATATGTAATTAAAAAAGTGTTCACTTCGTAATAGGGTACGGATGAATTCTTAACTTTCAAAAATTTACTTTGGTGAAAGAACAGAAATCCATGGTGCTCAATCTAAACAATATACCATGCGACCACATATATGATTTAACTTAATATGATTTGTCTTCAGTGGTTTTTAGGATGAATTTTTCTAAACTGATTACGAAATATTGAAATTTCAGTGATACCTAACGATATTTTACAAGAAGTTGTTCCTGGTTCAGTTCGGACTGCTGAACATTTTTTATCGTTTTTACGACGCTTCTGTGAATATTTGCAATATCGTATGCGAACTAAAACGGTGTTAATTGAAAGTCCGGCTGCTTTCTTGAGAGACATACAAGAAAAGATGTATATTGAAAGAAGACCACTTAGGTATTGTGATATTGTGATTATATTTTTTTCTTATATTTTTCCGCAGTTGAAATTAGGATTCTAGTATTTCTGAGTAAAATTTAAACGCTTATTTTTTTCTTTGAAGTAATTTTTTGAAATTTATTTAATTTCATTTTCAAAATGTTAAGGTTCTGTGCGGAACGATTCGCTTCTCTTGCTCGTACTTTAGAATTGGCAGACATTTCAGATTTCACTTCATTAGTTCTCATAACAAATTTCGCTACTCTTATTAGTACATATGGCAAAGGTAAATTTAAAAATGGTTTTTTTTCAGGGATTTCTGAATCTTGCTTTATTAATTGCAAATTTTAGTTTATTTATATTTTAGGATTTACAGTTGTAATCGAACCTCTTGACGAGAAAAGTGGAATAGGGCATAGTTGTACTATACATTTGAGTTGCATGGATGCATCGATTGCCATTCGTCCAGTTTTTCAGAGATTTCAATCAGTTATCATTACATCGGGAGTTCGTTTACACATTTTTACAAATTTTTTATTTCGTCTATTTTTATATTTAAAATATTTCAGCCATTTTTCCATTTTCAAAAAAATTGGATTCAAAAATTTGTTTTTGGTTTTCCGTTATCCATTTGATTTTTTATGGTCATTCTGCTCCTTCTTATTAAGTTAAATTGATAGAAAGATTAATTGATAGGACCTTGTTTGTTATGTTTTCAGACTTTATCTCCCCTCGATATGTATCCAAAAATTTTGGATTTTGATCCAGCAATAATGGCAAGTTTGTCAATGACTCTGGCTAGACCATGTATATCTCCACTAATTGTTTCTAAAGGTTCTTTTTTGTTTATTTTATTTTATTTTTATTTTATTTTATTTCTAATGGTTCTTTTTCGTTTTTTGATCCTTTTCAGTCATTGATTGTTGACAATTTGATATTTTAATATTTATATTTTAATATTTAAATTTGTATTTTAATATTTAATATTTTAATATTTAAATTTATATTTTAATATTTAATAATTAATGTTTTTTTAGATATTAGGTTTTCTGCTATGCTTTTCTGTTTTTTACCTAAAGATTATAAATAAAATATGGTTATCTAAATTTTATATGCCAATATTCAAATTTTTTCAAGGAAATGACCAAGTGGCAATGACTTCTCGTTTTGAATCGAGGTCTGATACAGCTGTCATTCGTAATTATGGGAATCTTGTTATCGAAATGGCGTCAATTGTGCCCGACGGTATCGTTGTCTTTTTCACTAGTTATTTATATATGGAGAATGTCATCAGTATGTGGTATGATCAAGTATGCAATCTTTTAAAAAATTGATCTTCAGTTAATAACTATTTCCGCTTAGAACAATCAGTGTTTGATTTTTTCAGTTTTTAAACCGGCGGCAATTATGACTACATTTTTTTTCATAAATCACTCATTTATTTTCAAAATTTTTTTTTGATTGAATTGTAAAATCGCTATTGGTTAAATTATTGGATATTTCTCATTTTTTTCAATGTTTTTTTTAGCGAATTATTGATGAGATCCTGAAATACAAATTAGTATTTATCGAAACGACAGATGCATTAGAAACAAGTGTTGCACTAGAAAAATACGTTGAAGCTTGTGACTGTGGTCGCGGTGCAGTTTTTTTTTCCGTTGCCAGAGGAAAGGTGGTGCTTAAATATTCTTAAATATTCTTTAGTCTGCTTCCTACTTCAATCTATTCTTTTAATTAAAATTTTTGGGCTTTTCAATTTCATTATTCAAGATCTATTGAAAATAGAATTAAGGTGTCTGAAGGTATCGATTTTTCTCATCATCTGGGGCGTGCAGTTCTAATGCTTGGTGTTCCTTACGTGTACACAGAAAGTAGAATATTACGTGCAAGGCTGGAATATCTTCGAGATCAGCTTGGAATTAAGTTAGAGCTTTATCTGTTTTATAAATTCAGTCTATTTATATATGTTATCTAGAAATTATAAAAATTACAAATTTATTGGTTAGAATTTTCACTGAAGATTTTCATCATAGGGAAAATGATTTTCTTACATTCGATGCAATGAGGCAAGCGGCTCAATGTATGGGACGTGCATTAAGAGGAAAATTGGATTACGGTTTAATGATATTCGCAGATAAAGTATGGTGTTACTTTGGTTTAATAAAGGAATTTTGAGTTGTATTATTTCTATTCATTTAAATGTATTTTTAACTCTATTTTTAGAGATTCGCTCGTAAGGATAAGATGGGTAAATTACCCAGATGGATTCAGCAGTACCTAGTTCCTGGCAGCATTAACTTGAGTATAGAAGAGGCGGGTATGTTGGCTCGCAAGTAAGTTAATTTTTCCTTTTCTGGAGTAAATTTTCAAAATTTTTCGCTATAAATTGCCTTAACGTTTAGTGCGAAAAAAGTTCAAGTTCAGATGGCTTCCTGTAATGGCACAACCATTCACTAAGGATCATCAATTGGGAATCGCTTTATTGAATGAAGATATGTTGAAAGCCGATCAACCTTTACAAAAACGCTTTTCTCATGTACTTCAGGAAATAGATTAATCGGCGTCGACAATGTATACAATTTTATAGTCATGAATCATATTGAATTGCGGTGATATTTTTTGTTTTTGTTTTAATTGTTGTGGTATTTAAATCTATTTTATCATTTAATTATAATTATTGAGTATAATTAATTGGTTTCACCAATGTTAAATTGCAAAATGTATTTGATTTTGATGCACAAAATCCATGCATATCTTGTCTTTTTCATATGAATAAAATATAAATTTATCAAATTAATTTAACTTATCAACTTCTTCATTCATCTCTTTTTTGTTATATTCGCTGTTTTAGTATATATTTTTCTTATTATATGTATCTCAGATAAACTATCTTATTAGATGTTAACCATTTAATTTTGTTTCTTCTGTTATTTGCTTCGAATTCTTCTGTTATTTACTTCGAAATTGATAAATTGTTATTAAATGCTTTTTTGCACAATACTTTAAAAGTATTAAATACCTTTAAATGCTTTAAAAGTAAATAAGCATCCGCTGATGATTACTTTCAAAGCCATTCATTCATTGAGACATCGTTTTTTTTTTAAATATTTCAGATACCGCAAGCCTTGCCGAATGATGATAGCACACACATGTGATGAAATTCACACACATGTGATGCAGTATGCGTGAAAGTAAGCATTTCTATTTTTCGATACATTTCCTGTTACCTTTTCTTTAGGATAAAATGAGTATTTTTCATACAGAAAGTATCACGAGATATAAAGATGGATTCAATTGTTATGATTTTTCGAGCAAGGATCTACTGCATTAGGAATTTCAGTTATTCAGTTATCAAGTTAAAAGGACATTCGAAGTGGCAAAATATTAAAAGTACAAAGGTTCAATTTATTCATTATTATTCTTTTAATAAGAAAATATAATGAAATTGTATAAATATAATGTTAAAAGTAAATATTTTTAACATAGATAAACAACAGCTTACTTAAAATTTAATATTTGCATTTGTTCCAGCTGAAGGTTGATGCGCAGAAATCTTTGCAAACAACTCGTTTGCTTCAAAAATTAAAGAAGGCCGTGCAAATTGACGGATTTGATTTAAAATTAAATAAAGGATTGGCGGCAATTCAACAAGAATTTCGCGCTTCTAATCTTTCGCTTGATTCATTCAATAGAGCACTTGATAGACTGAAGGTTTCATTTTAATGATTAATTTAGTGGTTCTGACCAAATTATATTTCTTACAAATCTGTTTTATTGCTATTTTACTGATAAAAAAATTGAATCCAAATCATTGCAATCATGTCTAGGCTAAGATTCGCCGACATTTTTTAAATTTTTTCTCCAGAAACAAAAGGTCGAAATGCAAAATTATGAGTTGATTGGACCCTCTGGATCATTATTCATTATCGAGACGGAAACAGAAAATCGCGTTAAAATGCAGCAGATTATTGCTAAATATATTAATAAGGTAATTCCAGTTTGAGTCAGTTTAAGTCTAGCGTTAAAGTTTAATTTTTTGGAAAAATTCTTATAGTATTAAAAGCCAGTGGAAAAAAAAGCCAGGAATGGTGAATAATTATCTTTTTCATTGATATTTTTTTAATATTTAGGTTGGTGGAGGATTTCGTTTTCAAGGAACACAGAATCAGTTTTCTAAAAAAGGAATTTTACGTGTATATCCTGAGATTGATGGCATAATTGTACCACTGGAAACTGTAGGTCTTTTAAAATTTTTTCAATTGGAAGTATTGCGATGGAAGATGGTCGTAATTTTTTTTCGTCACATTATTTATCAAAGAAATTAAATAAATAATTCATTCATGTTTTATTGCTAGGGTAAATTACGGTCCTTTTCATTAAGAACTCGAGCATAAATTTTTTCTTTTATGTGTGATGCTTTGATGGAATAGTACTGTGATTAATACTGTGATTAAGGCGAGCGATTGATATGGGATGTAATAGCAATATTGAGCCAGTTCGAGTTTCAGTCAGTCTTTTTTATTTTTCTGGTCCTAAAATCTTTTGAAAACTTGTCTGCCATACCTCAACCTCCCAGCCGCTTGTTAGAAAGTTGAGGGGTGATCCATATCACCCACAAGGGGTCTTGTGTCTTATAATATAATAGATCTGCTTAGTTTAGATGGAAGAAATTGGAATCGATCTGGATTGCGAAGATGTTGCGTTGGTAAAGGATGGCGATGAACAATATTATGAATTATCATGCTCTGCAAGCAGGGTTCATGATGTTCAGAAAAAACTTGAAGATCGTAAATTGACCGTAATTTCATCGGAACAAGAAATGCGAGCGAATCATACTGTCATTCTCAATGAAGATGATTGCTCAAAGGTTTTTTTTATTCACATGTTCGGAAAAAAAATTAAGATTAAGATTAACATTTTAACATTTAACATGTAACATTTTTATTTTTTTGTATAGTTGTTGAAAGCGAATATTCGGCACAAGTTTGCCGAAAACTTTACTTTTAAAAATTATAGATTTTGAATAAATTTTTTTTCTGAGAATACTACATTCCTATGCTCATTTCGATGTCGGACAGTACCTTGCCAAGGAATCACTTGGCAATAGAAACATGTGAGTCGCCAGCATCACCTGGATTTTCGAAGGTTTATTCCTGCCAGGCGCCGAACTTCAGCATCAGCATTCCCAACTGAGCTTTTTTGCTTTCGCACTTCGGCTACATTACCGTCTGATCAAGCGTGATGCGTCGGTCAGATTCGAATTCTTGATTTTCTGTGACATTCATTTTAATTCATCACATAATTCATTATAATTCGCTTCTTTTTTGAGTCCATAAGATTTTACAGGATTTTTTTCAAGGTCAATTTAACTGATTTTTTGAGTTGAAATAAAGTTTATAGGTAGAAAAATTCTATGCATTTCTTCAAGAGAATGACGATGTTATTCAAATTTTCGATAATATTGATCCGCAAAAAGTGGCTGCAGCTAAATCAAACTGAATCTTAATCACAATATTCACAATAACGTTTCATTTTTGTTTTTCATAAATCGATTGTTTGTTGAATTATAAATTGTATAAATCATGTGGAGTAAATTATCAAATTTTAATTAAAATCTTATATCAGTGCGAATAAGCAAAATATTTTTTTCTTTTATAAGTGTAAAGTTTATGTTCTAAAATTTTTTTCAGAATTTTTTTAATTTCAGTATTCTACAAATTTTTCTTTAGCAACTCATTCAGCTTTGAGAAATTTTTGGAAATTTTATGCTTTGTGAACATATGAATGTAGAATATAAAGATGGGGTAAAATTTAATATATTAAATATATTAAATATATTATAAACAAATTCATTCAAATAAAAGCAGATTAAAATAATTTAAATAATTTATGAGGAGAGGTGTTACCAATTAATTTCGGTAATTTTTGAAAATGTGAGAAAATATCATTTGAAGATAATTCTTTAATGTGTAATTTTAGGAAGCAAAAGAAACGCAAATTAAACTAATCATTTTATCGAGCCTACCGGTGCAAAAATTGGAATTAAATTCACCATTCTCTTAATCCTTTTTAGGTTACAACAATAAGGGTATGTTAATTTGTTGAAAAGACAAGATGGAATGCAATGTTGAAAAGTTAAAATGAAAATCAGGGTGCTAAGTTACGTATTCTTGAAACCGATTGAAAAAGCAACATAGTAAGAGCGATTTGATCCATTATTTAAAAGAATTTCGTTCGGTAGTGTTCGTCACAGATCTAAAAAGCAAAAAATTTTGGGGCATCTGCTTGTTTTGATGGTCCACAAAAACAGGCACGAAACGTTGGTCCATTCACTGCGCCTTGACAATAGCATGAAAGCATTTCCCGGCCATTGTCCTTTTTGCATAAACTCTTACAAATTTCGACCATGCATTGATCCAATGTTGGAAATGAACTGAAAAACCGATAATTAATATGAAAACCGATAAATGAATTAGGCCCAAGCCAACAATAACAATAACTATATATACTCGCTCTTCACTGTTTCTCTTATTTATTGGAACCAGAAACCTAAATTTTCGTCGACAATGGCATCAGACCGCACCGTTTGGAAGTGTCTTACCCTTGTAGCCGTTGGAGCCAGCCTAACCAGTAATGATGAGAGCTATTAGAAGAAAAAGAAGAGGCTAATATCCTGTTCTTCAAAGAATCATCCAAGATGTACTCTCAATTAGAATGTAATAATATGGTAGTAGCAGCAGCGCTATAATACCAATGCAAAATGGCTGCAAGATCTGAGAACTAGTCATAACGACCTCTCAGAGTAGGAAGCAGTTACCATCACAATTGTATTCGTGAAGGACCAATATCATTCAATTATCGACCAATAATTTCCCTGTCCCAATGTAGAAAGTACTACCAGATATCATAGCCATCTAGCTACAAGCCATATGAAGAGATGGTCAAAACACCAACTGCCCATAGATAAAGTAGTTGCTAAGACTAATTGTTTCGACAAGCCAATCTGTACATAGTTTAGATTCATAGTTTAGATCTGTACATAGTTTAGAAAAGCCTATGATTCAATGTCTTCTAACTGGATCTGGCTCTGTATAAAGTCAACAAAATCCTAACGACCATCAAGAACTTAATGGGACTGTGGAAAACGACATTTGGAGTTAACTTAAAAATTTTTATAAGGCTATAAAATGACGCGTTATCTTCGCTACTCTTTTACATAGGTCTAAACACGTTTAACCAGGTAATCACAAGAAACGGATACTGATACAAGTTCATAAGTGGAAACTATCATCAGCCAATTTTTCTACATGGATGATATCAAATTACAGTCTTAAAAGCGAACGAGAATAAAGAGATGTCATTAGGACTGGAGAAATTTGACTTGATGGTAGATGATAAGAAAGAGAGGAGAAATAATTAAGGCTGATAGGGTGGAACCACCAGCGGGGCCAGTTACATGTAGACTAGTTACAAGTATCTTGATATCCCACAGTTATGCTACGAAGAAAGCAAAAAAACATCATCTAAATACAGCCAAAGAATCTTAAATAGGGAAAAACAAACTCCATGAATAAACATTTGCTCCCTTTCATTATCAGATATGCAGCTGATAAAGCAGACGTGGAAGATGCCAGTGAAAACCCAGAAACTCTTAAAGCACTGAAATATAAAAATTTTTACACCATGTTTAATATACACAAAGGCTCCTAATAACTAAATACACTAGGTGGAGAGAAGGCGGGTGGGACTTGTGAATATCAAAGTGCCATTATCTTGAACAAGTATTCAGGAATCTGAATATAGTTTAGACCTTCCGAAGATCGGATAGGAAATTCGTCAGAAAATCTTGGAGAATAAGGCGAAGATCCTGTGGGACTCCATCCAGACAGATAAAGTAATAGCAAGTACTGGCCAATTAACCAGATATTGTGGTAGCAGGCAAGAGTTAGCTCTTATTCTTATAACTCTTGAAGGAAATAAGAATAACAAATGACAAGCGTTAGGAAGAAGGTATATAAGAAGGTAGAGAAATACTAGGGGCTGTAAAAGTAATTAAAGAAAATGGATGAAGAAAATAAAAATACTAGAGGTTGTGGCCCTTAAATTTTTTTTCCAAATTCCAGAAAAACATCAGAGATTTAGTAGTGCGTCCAGGAGAGTACGATGCCCGAGACAGCTAAAAACCCTCAAACTCGCAGGCCTTTGTTCGTAAAAGTCATGGGAACAAAATTCTCGCCCATTATTTTTAAGTGAACTTACCAGGGTAGCGTAACATGTGGACTGCATTTAGCTTGGCATGAAAGATCGGCGTGACAATAATTCGTTAACAATAATACAAGAATAACTATGCAAATAAAGGTTATTGTATATGAAGCAAAATATATTCTACAAATCATGCGAATAAACTGCACTTTGAATGAATGAAAAAATGTGATATTTTGCGAGTTGTTTATTAGAAAACAAACGATTGAAACAGAAAACAAGTTCCAAATAATGAACGCAAATTATAATTATATAATAATTACTGAAAATGTAAGAAACCAGTTCAAAAGTAATCGTAAATAATTGATAATTATAAGTAATTAATCAAAAGAATACATTATCGTATTATTGCAAATGCCAGAATTTTTCATGAAATTTTCAAAATTTTTGTTTCGAAAACATTTTAATTTTCACATCTTATAACTTGTAATATAACTCTTTTATAAATGATGTTTTTCTTGCTTTTTCTTATTAATCTCGACGAAAAATATAAAAAGATTCGTCGAAAGAGATATGAAAGAGGTACTGAAGAACCAGCTACATTTCTATTCTCAAGTGATTTTTTGGCGAAAATAATGTATCCGAGCAGCTAGCCAAATTATAAATAATGAGTGCTATTAGAAGAAATGAAAATATAAAACAATTATTTTAAAATGACAGAAAAATTTCTTAGATAAAAAAAGCGAAAATACAAGTCAAAAATTTGCAGAGTTGCGATATATGTTGATAAAAAATTCTTATTTTCGAGATATAAATAGGTAAAAGATAAAGCATATTTCTGGTAAAATTCGCTTCGCCGGCTATTAGCATAAATTTTTGCTAAAAAGTTGTTTGACGGTAGAAATAAGACTGGTGGTTCATTGTCAAGACAGCATCCTTGCTTTTCAAAACAATAATCTGAAGTATCATCCACTCAGCTATCTTGCGCCTGATCATTTAATTAAACTTTTCACTTGGATTTTTCCTGAAAATTTTTCTTGAATTTTTCTTCATCTTTGAACAATTTATTATGAATTCTCTTTAATTATACATATTAAAGATTTTAAAACAAAGATTTTAATATATTAAAGACTAGTTTTATTCTCAATTATATTTGTTTTGAAGGCACTTAAATCATTTTGGCAAATGATATTATAATTTAAAATCAGGTTTAAATCAAAAATAAATCAGTATAATAAGCCAATTTCAATAACTAATTCCTCAGAGAAGTTTACTAAAAAATTATTTTCCTCAAATTTTTAAGATGAGGCAGGAAAATGAAATCGGATATCTTCTAATCTCTTTAAAACTCTCAACATAAATAATAAAGATGCATTTTCTTGAAATCTTATAATTTTCTATGCAAAAACCTACATTTAGTGCAAAGTTTTATCAATTTCGATTAGTTAAATCATTTATTGAATTTCCGGATTTTTCTGTTTAAAATTTTTCTTATTCGTTATCTTTTTAATAACATAAATAATACCTTTTTAATTTAATGATAATATTTAATTTTTAAATTGTTAAAAGATCGTATAAAATTGAAAAGATATTCCGGAAAAGCATTCCAAATTCCTCGTTTCCACGACAATGTAATAAATATTTTAAAAGTGCTGAATACACAGTGATTAACATTTAAGCAGTTGAAAAATAAATTAACCGCTGTATCGTTGCAATGCTAAAATAATCACGAAAAACCCAACCACTTAAAAAGAAAGAAGATTTTCACCACCTCTTTCGAAAAATTATTGAATAAAAGTCCAACATAATTCAAACGCAAATAGATGAGATAGAAACAAATGTTCTTCCGACTTGGATCAGTCGCCATATTTTCGATAGATAAGGTAAAATCTGGTAAATCCGGAATAAAGCTTTCATTAAAAATGAAATAGTATTGGAGATCCACCTGTATTTCTATTCAGAAATGGTACATGCCGTTAAAAAATAAAAGAAAGAATAAGATAGGTGTAGGTTAAGATTCCTGAATCTTGGCATAGAAATTTAGGGAATAATTCATCGTTGGTTACCAGTTAGTGTGAATTATTTTATTTGTTCAATTCAGTCAACAATTGCTATATTTACTTTACCGACAATTTTCTGCTTTTTTTTATAATTTTCAAAAATCTAGTGAATACAATAATAAAAAATTCTTTCGCATAATGATAAAAAATTCCCTCATAACATTCAGTCTTAAAGAAAATAAAAATTTCTTTTTTCCTTTTTCTTCGTTGATAATGCACTAATCTTATCAACGAATAATGCAGATCATTTTTAAATGCAAATCTCTACACCACATTATGGATTTATGGATTTTAAATTGCATTTTATATTGCATTGTATAAGTTGAATAGATTGGCATGAACATTAGGCAAAAGCTGGTCAAATTCGAATCCGTCTTTCGTTCATTAACCATTAATGTGGGATTATTAGCTGCCTCGATTCGCTCAAATACACGTTTCATATTTCCAAACTTCTTTCTGATTTATGTTGCAATA